CTAAAAAATTGGCTGAATCAACTTTAAAAATTATAAAAACTAAGTGCCTAAGTGCTGGAAAATTCAATAAAGGAGTCGCTTCCACTACAGTATTTGCCGTTCAAAAGCCGTAGCTGCTAGCATATGAGTCCCTTTGCGATTCGTTTCAGCAGCCTATCGGATGTGCTCCTGACGCCCAAGCAATCTACAGTGCTGCCATTGAGCGGTTTCGAAAAGTAGTTTCACTTCAAGGAAAAAAAAGAGCGGAAAAAGCGTTCTGATTATGATTTGCATGAAACCTAAGGTAAGAAAGTAAGGTCGCCTAAATACCCGGCAAATTTTATTGCAGCTGACAGACGATCGCTCTATTTCACAAATAATAAGTTCTTAGCAAGAAGTAGCTAACAAAACTGCTGAAAGGACGCAGTTCGAGTTGCAAAGAAAGCGCACCTTTTGTAGACTTCTGACGGACACGCTGCTGTTCACTTTCGTCGGCTGCAGCGCGGCTTCGTTTCCTGGATACAGTTGGTTCCTCAGCACTGCTGCAGTTCTCGTTGCACAGAGATCGCAGAATCGACATCTCATTGTACGGCCTTTTCATCTGACTGCGTTGCTGTTGCTGTTGCTGCTGCTGCTTACTGCAGCTCGGGGAAGAGTTGTAATTTAAGGATGAATTGGGCCTGGACGACGATTCTCCGTTCAGTGTTGTTGTTGACAGCGCGCTGCTGCCGACTGCGTGTCCCGCGCCGCCGCTTCCGCCAGCTGTCAGTAAATTCATCTGCAAAACGTCATCGATTAAGTACAAAGATAGCAGAAATGCGCACACACGCTTCTGTTAGCCGTGACCGAAGCAGAGGAAAACATACTAGTGGACTTGTCCGAGGGCACAGCAAACAGCGCCCTAGATTATTATACTATCGGCGTGCAGCTCCAGTGTTACTCAACCTGTATCCACACGCATTCCGCAGTTGTATCAATGGCTTGAATATCAAAGGAAAAACACAACGAAGCTGTGGACTCGAAACTGACGGATACCAGATCCTCACAACAAGCGCGAGAGCCGCATCAAGCACAGCCAAGCCAGACCGCACACACACACA